TTGTTTTTAACTCCATTAGTTAAAAAATAATAATAAATGCAAGAATACCTTTAAAATTATTTAAATATTCATAATAAATTATTAAAAAATAATGAATATATATTTTGATTTGATACATCTTTCAATATTTATCTAATTTAGTTATTGATATATAATATAAATATGATTAATTTAATTAAATTATATATATCGTATGCAAAACTACTTTTTTAAAATTATTTATCTTTAATTTCAAATAAAAAATGATTTACAACAAATATATTATGTAATGTGTTGAATTAAAATAGATATTAATGAGCATCCTAAATCACCCCTAAGCATTAATTTATTACTAATTTTAAGTAATTTCGCAAATATTGTTATAGTTTTTTTATGCAAGTCGATCTGAAAGCCTGTGTTTCCATTATTATAAATAGAGATAAAGAAAAATCATCCAATCACAGTGATTAATGGTAAGATATAACTGTCACAAATGAATCTCATGCACCATACGATAATAATTGGAAATTTTAATATTTTTAATGATATTTACGTCTTAATTTTTATTTTTACATTTTAAGTGTATTTATGATCATCCACCCTTTTGTAAAGGGCAACCAATTCTATTTAATTTAATTGTTAAAATAATTAATAAATTATAAAATAACTGATATTTATTATTTAAAAAATTAAAATTAATTTATAAATTATTATTTTTAAACATTATAATCAATTATTGTAAAAAATTATAAACAAATAAAATATTAATTAAAGTAAACAATTTTTAGGTGGCCAGCGGCCATAACCACACACACCCTTAAATTTCTAATACTACTAATTACTAAAAAAATTAAATAGTCTACTAAAACTTCCAAATTAATAAAATTGATATTAAATTTTAAAATAAAATGAATTAAAGATAAAATTATTGTACCTAGTATCATATACAAAAAATATATAATATGTACCAAAAACATAATATTATTCACAAGGACAATAATTGGAGCACCATTTAATTTAACACATTTTATGACATATACATTAAAAATTATTATTTTCAAATTTGAATTTAAGATGAAAAAAATTTCACTTGAAAAATTTAATAGCTGAATTGATGGGTGTTGTTAGGAGTATCTAACTGAATGGTATACCAATTATTATTCTATTCACAAACTTAATAAATATAATAAAAAGTAAATAAATCATATCCATTAAAAAGTAGAGTTATAAATAGTTAAAATTTTATATAAGTACAATGATAAAACTTGTATATAAGTAAATTTTAACTTATTATATAGACATTAAATCATTAACAATTACTGTATTATTTTCTAAATGATAAAATTAAATTTCTAAAATTGTCTTTGTTTTCCATACTTTGCACAACTAAACAATTGTTGCAGGATATTATTAAAAAAGAAAAAAGAAAAAAGAAAAAAGAAAAGATCGCCAGATTGCCTACGTCTTCAATTCTGCTGGAGCCCTTTATGCCTCCATGCTGTCTAGCCATCCAGTTCCTTACCACGTAGATTGGTAAACATGTTGGATTGGGTGAATTTAGATTAGGTCAATTTGAATTTTGAATTGATTAGGTTAGGTTATTTTAATTTTGGATTAAAGGGTGGAAATATATGACCTATTCATACGGGTTTGAGATTTAGTTGAGTGCATCTAATTTTAAAAATAATTAAAATAAAAATAAAAAATTTCAATATATTTTT